TAGATATATATAGTATACATTATACAAGATGACATGGAATTTTTAAAAGCACTCATGAACACATACCAGGCTGCCACCAAGCACCGTCGTGCCTGTTGCAGGCCATGTGCTTGACACAGTCAGTGATACTTCGCTTGACAGCCTTCCACTCAATGTCCTACACAGCGAAGAAGAGGTAATTAATACCCGCAAGCGCCAACACGAGTAGTCGTTAACACATATATGTGGATATGTTACACACACACACACACACACACATATATATATATATATACATAGATATATACAACTATGGAGTACGATACTGACTGATGTATGTGTTGCAGTGCTGTTCCTATCCCACACATTGTCAGTGTACGCCACTTCAGCCTACATAGGCGCCATCAGGACTTTAAAGGGGTGTGCGAGTTTATATTCACTCACAAAGGGCTGTGTGTGTTTGTATACACTCACATGGTGTTATATCGTCCAGAGCCTGCTTCTTATAGTACTCGTTTGATCGCCACCAATTAGTGGTGCTGTAATTGTACACTTTTTTGGTTCTGCGCATGACTCATGTGGTGTGACACACACACAACATGTCACGCACAGAGTTAACGTATGATACAAGTACATCTGCCTTATACTACAAAACGTTTCTTGTATACACCCACACAGCATGGTACGTATACCGCATATACATCTGCGTTGTTATGTACACACACATGTACGTATACTACATGCACACATGCCTTGTACTGTGTATCACATGTCTTGTATACACCCACACAGCATGGTACGTATACTGCATATACATCTGCTTTGTTATGTACACATGTACGTGTACTACATGCACACATGCCTTATTCCACACGTTGTAGATATATGCCACTCCCTTCCATGTGGGGTATGTGTTGTGGCATTCCATCTTTAGTCCGTGGCACGCATTCCACCGCCCTAGTTCGCTCGAATTGCCAACTACATACCTATATTTGGCATAGCAGGATTTAGGGTTTAGGGTTCAGAGTGCATTTGTCCAAACGCTGTCTATTGCGTCGTATCTGAAGAGACAGTATGACAATGTATGTGATTCATACAACAGTCGAGTCTATGCATGA